TCTGACGGTCGGACAAACAGACAGTTGTACCTCTAAGACTAAGACTGTTTATTCACGAAAAATGAAAGAAACAGACAGTTGTACCTACAGTTGTTGTGTGATAAAAGGGATTAAGCCAATAAGATTAATCATCATGACGAAATTAGTCCTGATCAGAAAAATGCGAAGCATAAATTTGAAAAAGTGACGTGGTCTGTAAAGTGGTCTTCTTCATTTTCGAAGTGGAAAACAGAGTAGAAAACGACTTTTACAAAGTGGAAGGTCGCTTTGCTTTCGCAGAGACCATCAATCATTAGAAACACTGTCTAGCATTGTGATAACGCTGAAAATCTGTGGTTTGAAACGGGAAAAATGTGACAATATGACGCGACAGAAAAAATGTGTCTGCAAAAGTTGACGGCAAAAACGTTGAAAATAACGTTTTTTTCCGAATGTCACGATAAAGCCATTTCATTCAACGTTAAAAAAGTTGAAGCCAACGGTAAAAGTGTGACAAAAAGCAACATTTTTAATGTGATTTTGCCACGAATTTTAGGTGACTTTTTTTTACAGTGAGCGCAACACGAAAATCGTGACAGCAAGAGATGACAGTAAAAACGTTTAAAGTAACGTTTTCTGCTAATTTCACGGCGAAGCTATTTCATTCAGTATTAAAAGCGTTGAACTCAACAGCAAAAATGTGACACCGCAAACATTTTTGCTGTGACTTTTCCACGGATTTTGTGTGACATTTTTTGGCAGTGCGCTAAACCATATAAGGATTTATGAGATAAACATGTATCTTTCTATTAATAACTGTTTAATATTTCTTCATATTTTATTGTTGTTTACTTGATACACTTGTTTTTTATTTTCCTTTTCCATTCACCTTTGTGGTGAACCGTTTCTGATTAAATTTAATGTGACTCTGCTTGTATTGTTTTTTAATAGTTCCATCATCTAAAAATATAATAAAATGAAATAAAATTGTCTCCCAGAAATCCTCCGATTTTTATTTCACGATCTCACATTTTACATGAATACTAAATATTTTTATTAGCTTCTCTTGTGGTTAGCTTTAATACAAATTTTATGAGGTGTCACAACAAATCTCATAGGATGTTATGCCAGCGATCCTAAAGATATCTTTTACAGGAGTCAAAAGTTCACCGTTAACAGTACTTATATGTGGCGACATCTTAAACAAGTCTGATGTGAAGTGATATTATATATGAGCCCAGATGGAAAATGATGCACTTATTTCGTGCACTTTTTCGTATTTTAGTAAAACGCAAATCCATTGAATAAAAGTTTTGAATTTAAACAAAAATAAAATCGAGTTTTATTTTCTGCTTTGGTTTTCTTTCGGACTTGAGCAAGATATCCATAAGTGAGGCGTCCTCTATAATGTAGGACAACAAATATCTCCTTAATCGTAGCTTGCCCAAAAGAGATGAAAACGGAAAATTAAATTCGATTTTATTTTTGTTTTATTCAAATTCAAAACTTTCATTCAATGGTTAATAATAATAAGTAGTATAGTACATTTTTTATCTTTTTTCAAACCATACCATACCAATTAGAAAAAAAAGAAACGAAAACATAGAACGAATCAGCTTGAGATTCACTGTTGTATGCAAAGAATGGATCTTGTAGTTTTGCTGTCTTTTCCACTAACATAATAAGGTGGTGACTAGTTTTACTGACCGACCGACCGACTTTAGTGACCAAATTTGATTGGCGTAACCATTGGATAAATCAATCAAATTTGGTCAGTAAAGTCAGTCGAGCAGTAAAAATAGTCACCACCACTAATCCCGTGATCTTCTGATAGATTAATATTTAATTTTCAAAGCTTGTCGTAACATAACATGAAGAGCACGATTCCAGGATGTTTATGTACCTTTATTATCTTATATCACTATCTGATTTCTTGCGTTTAGTACGAATACCTCGTTTCTATGTTCATTGAGCTATAGGTATGCTATTCTTTGTTTTTAGAGAAGTGTAATTTTCTTTTCTGTATTAAAGAATAATAATAAATTATATTAATGATTATTAACAAAAAGTCTTAAGCCTAAATTACAACAAAACAGATTTTCTCACGTACACTCATCTTAACCTCAGACGTAGTTTATAATCAGTTTCAAAAACATGGCTAAAGTTACACTTGCATTAGACATTAAATCTGACGTAAGACATCCTTCAGTCGAAAAAATTGAGGTAAAAGTATGAAAGATACTTTTTCAAAATTAAATAAACCACAGTGCATCAATAAACAAAAACAACCTACTATTCGTAAATCATTTTTTGAATCATTTACGTGTGATCTAATGGCTTAGTTATTTTTCTGCAAATATCAGTAAGCTTGTTCAGTTTTATGTGAACATTATGTATAGAAAGAAGCGGCGTCACAGTTCTTCTTGTTGACTAACTATTTCTGTTCTTTTTTTTTGTTCTGTTTTTCCTATAAAGTAACAGCTGTTCTCTGCTCCCCTGAAGAATGACACACCTCTCATGTTCTTTTTTTTCCTATTATATTTTGCATTCTCGTCCTTTTTATACAAGTTTCACGGACTGCAAAACTTTTTGCTTATACACGAATATCTGGAAGAACAATGCATCACTTGCTTTTCGCGTCTATAGTAATAAAAACGTGCAATTTCTTTTTAAGGGTAATAAAGCTTTCTTTTTCGTATAATGGTAGATCGTATTGTGTTGATATCATGTTAGATAAATGAAATAACAACACTTCTACACATACGAAGAACAACATATTTACATATTTTTACTTCACAGAAAAACAACAGATCATGAATTTTAATTAAGACCAAAATTATTTTTCCTCTCTGATCATTACAATGAATTCATCAGAATGTATAGCTTAGTGATATTTAGCTATTACATAAATTAAAGATTGGTTGTTAAATAGAAATGTAGAAAACTAAAGACGATATACTCAGTAGCTCTCATGAAGTAAAATAAGATGTCTTGTAGAGACTATGGGCTCTACTAACGTAAATATGAGCAAATCCCATTGTAAGCAAGCAGATTTTATTGTGTTTGTTTTTCACATATAAACGAGAAAAAAAGATAAATATGTAGGGACAGTTGGAAAAGGTAGATATCATTTTAGTTTCTTCTACACATTAAAGAACGAATAAGAATATATAATTCTATATAATGGTATCAAACAAAAGAAATTTTTTTTATAGTTGATGTTAGTGTGATAACCACACTTGTTTGTGAGTAAGAGAACCACACTGTGGTTCTCTTACTTACAAATAAGTTTATGAGAATTTTTCGTGATTTCAAAAAAGTTTTGTCATGACAATTTTATTATGTTCTAGTACTTTTATTTATTAACAGTGAATGTAACGAAATAATAAAAATATATTCTCAAACTTTGTCTTTATAAGTCTTACTAAATCTCATGTAAATAATTCTCATTTAACAGATGAAAGTCGACGATTTAATCAAACTCTTGATTAATATTTATGAAAAATTTCAAGTTTTATATGATCCTGGTATTTCAAGCATTTAACGAACTTGCACTGATGTATAAACAACATGTTTACAATGTCCAAAACAAAAAAAATGAAATGAACAAGTATTTAAAAGAGAATGATTTTTTATTAGATTTAACCCTTCCAGGACCGACTTATTTCGAGCGATAATTACAAATTTCTCAACTTTTCAAAAATGAATGAGATCTTAATCTACTTGAATTTATTTCTGTATCAATCTTCCTCTTTGTAGCAATCTAAGGGCCATGTATAGGGCGATAATAAAACGTTTACTTCGAAGAGACGAGAAAAAATTCGAATTCTTGTGTTAGATAACGTGAAATTTAATGACGTTTTAAAACGTCACCGGTCCCGAAAGGGTTAAACAACAAGAGAGCGAAATAATTAACTAATTAATTTTATTTAATACAATTAAAAAACTGTTCTAACATTAGTTTAATTACTGTAATTGGAACAGTAATGAAGTTTAAAATAAAACATTTTCAGTTTCCTTTGACCTTTCTACCTTCTTTTCAATAGTTATGCTAAAAAGTTCCAGGACGGTGTCATCGAATATCACGTGGTAGACTGCTGAAAAGAATCTCTTCTATTTTGTTCACTTCTATTTCATTAAGAAAAACATATTGATTAGACGAATGTTCTAGAGAAATTCTGACACAAATTAAAATTTTCGTATCTATTTTTCTTTTTTTGGATTCTTGATATCGCTAGCAAAATATCTGCATAAACAGTAGTTTTCCCATGACGTATAAATATGTTGTTCTTCGTCTGTGTAGAAGTGTTGTTGTTTCATTTATCTAACGTGACATCAACACAATATGATCTACCATTATACGAAAAAGAAAACTTTATTATCGTTATAGAGAAATTGCACGTTTTTATTACTGTAGACGCGAAAAGCAAGTGATGCATTGTTCTTCCAGATATTCGTATATAAGTAAAAAGTTTTGCAATCCGTGAAACTTGTATAAAAAGGACGAAAATGTAAAATATAAAAGAAAAATAAAAAAGAACATGAGGGGTGTGTCGTTTTTATGTGAAGTGACATTTTATATGACTAAAATTTCAAAGTCACTGATAATACGTAGAACTTGACTTAACTGTTGTGCTATAAACTCGATTATTAGAACCCTTCCTTAGAACTTGTTATGAATAGGAGAATCAATTAACTAACTTAATTGATCTATGCTCGTTTTAATAGGCTTCTGTAAAAAGTATAAAATGTTTTTTCACGCTTTCTATTCTATGAAGATTCTCTTTTCGTACTTTATCGAAAAGAAATAGAACAATATTTGCATGCACAGAAGTATGCTACTGTTTTTGTCATTTTTTTGGATGATGATAAAATCATAGACATTTTATTCTTTTTTTGTGTGTGTTTTGTTTAAATGTCTATCTTTATGTTTCGGTAGTAAAAATTAAATTCTGTCAATCAGTACTTTTGTTGTGCTTTTCATTTTAGATCAAATAACGATTGCGTATCTAGTTTAACAAATGTTTTCACGTACAATTACTCATGGATCAAGACATGGCTTCAAAATATCTTCTTCGTCTTTTTTCTTTTGTTGTCAAAAATCTACAACAAATTTCTCGGCTCCATCCACAGTCAGTGTTTCTTCTGATCACCTACCACCAATTAAATTAGACAGTGAAGAAGTGATTCCTGAACATGGCACGGGATTTTATAAAATGGTTGAATTATTTTATGATCGTGCTGCAGGCTTATTAGAAGATAAATTAGTTGACGAAATGAGAAAATCAAAATTGACAACTGAACAAAAACGTATTAAAGTACAAGGAACATTAAGAATGATTAAACCACCAAATTATGTATTAGCAATCACATTTCCAGTACGAAGAGATAACGGGTAAATATGATTTCAAGCAAGAGAACAAACAATATCTGTATGAAAACTCAACTATTTTATTTAACTGCAAAAAAAAACGAAGCTGATGAAGTTTCTAGTCTGAGTTTAAAGCTACTAAATAAAATAATAAATTTAGTTAAGCTTTTCATACAAATATTGTTTACTTTTATCAACATTTTTCTCATCGAATGATATTAGAAACAGCAAGTGAAAATGTAATAGGAATTTACGAATTAAAGATATTATATTGACCTGTGCACTCAACTAATATTAAAGGTTTTACACAACTAATTTCTACGGTCTAATTGATACGTAAACGTTTGACTATTCTCGCCGTCGTTAAAACTATAGATTTAGAAGGAATAGTGATAAATTAATATACTAAAGATTTTTGCTGCACTCTGCTCTGGCATGAGTTAGTATCGTCACTAACATTCTATTGGCATAAGCTGTTCTTGTTTTATCTTACTTAGGGAGTGGGAATTGATCGAAGCGTGGAGAGCACAACATAGTTTACATCGAACACCGTGCAAAGGAGGCATACGTTACTCGTTGGATGTCAATTTGGATGAAGTAAAAGCTTTAGCTGCTCTAATGACATTCAAATGTGCATGTGTCGATGTACCGTTTGGAGGCGCGAAAGCGGGTGTCAAAATCA